ACTAGATGGATACCCTACGATAGTCACGTTGACATACAATTAACACCATCACCCATAGACTAGGAATCCTCGTGAGTTTATTTTTAAAAGCCTTTTTAGTTAGTTAAGTATTACTTATTATTGTGTGTATCTATGTTATGGGGGACGCTTGTGCCACAGCGCATGTGTAGCGGTCAGAGGTCAGCTTTGGGGAGCTGGCTCTCTCTTCCACCTTCCCCCATATCCTGGGGGTGAAACTCAAGCAGTTAATCATGAGAAGCCGGCAGAATTCAGGTTGTCAGGCTTGCATAGGAAGTGCCCTTAACCACTGGGCCATCTCACTGACCCCAATTTTAATCTTGAAAGCAATTACCAAACTATTTTATGTGGTGGCAGCCGGTTCTGACACACTGAAAAGTCATACCACGTGCACAGCTGTGTGTAAGTGATGGAGTCCCTCAGCTTCTCACCGCCTGTGATGTGACCAGTGTATTTTAGGCATTCTGATTGGAGTGACAGGGCCTGCTGCTGTCTCCGTTGGCTCTTCTGTGTGGTTCACGGGCCGGCTCTTCATGTCTTCATCCCCTATCTGCACGTCCTCCTTGGATATGTCTTTTGTGTGCTCCAAGAGAGATTCCAAGCCCAGAACTGTTAATCTCTCCCTAAAGAATTGTTTCTTCTTTGTGGGTAGTTGTCACTTTTTTCTTTTCTTTTCTTTTTTCTTTTTTTGAGACAGGGTTTCTTTGCTTAGTTCTGGAGCCTGTCCTGGAACTCGCTCTGTAGACCACCAGGCTGGCCTTGAACTCACAGAGCTCAGCCTGTCTCTGAGTGCTGGGATTAAAGGTGTGCACCACTACCACCCCCTGGTAGTTGTCACTTTCATGATTAGTAACATCTCTTGCCTTAAAACCTATTTTGGCTGAGCATGATGGTGCATGCCTGCCTCCCAGCACTGTGGAGGCCTGGAACTCACCATTTAGCTTAGGTTGACCTCATGGACAAGCAGTGATCCTCTGCCTCCCAACTGCGGGCATTGCAGTGTGAACCACTGTGCCCCCCAATTGTGGGTATTGCAGTGTGAACCACTGTGCCCCCAAATGTGGGCATTTCAATGTATACCACTGCCCACCAACTGTGGGCATTGCAGTGTGAACCACTGTGCCCCCCAACTGTGGGCATTGCAGTATGAACCACTGTCCCCCCAACTGTGGGCATTGCAATGTTTACCACTGGGCCCCCAACTTTGGGCATTGCAGTGTGCACCACTGTGCCCCCCAACTGTGGGCATTGCAATGTATACCACTGTGCCTCCCAACTGTGGGCATTGCAGTGTGAACCACTGTGCCCCCCAACTGTGGGCACTGCAGTGTGCACCACGGTGCCCACTCTGATTTTTTTTTTTAGGTAAATTGTTTTCCTCTTCCTCCCATCTGCATCCCCCTTTGGAAGGCATACATGTAATTATTGGGATGGAACTTGGTTTGCCTAGCTATTTTAACAGGCATGCTTGGGACGTAACGGTAACTGGCACACTGTCCTGCTTGTGAACTACTTAAACACCCGACGTGCCCCGTGCCACCCCTACTTGCCACTGTTGACATTACTGTTTCATCTTGCATTTCTCCCACAAAACAGTACGGCTGTTATTAGCAGGGTTCAATTAGGTTTTCCTATTTCAACTACTTTTGTGTTCAAGTTTTAATATTACGCCTATGGATATGTGTGGGTGCATGTACATGTTCATGTGTTAGTTGGTGCACATAGGTGCATGTACCCATGAAGATCAGAGATTAACTTTAGGTGCCTCTTAGTGACCTAGAAATGACTAATTGGGCTAGACTGGCTGGTCAGGGAGTCCCATGGATGCCCCTGCCTCTGTCTCCCCAGCACTGGGATTACAAGCAGGCACCCCCACTCCCAGCTTTTTATGTGGCTGCTGGGGATTGAACTCGGGTCCTTGGAATGTGCAGCGAGCACTTTACCAACTGAGCCACCTCCCCAACCCTGTGTGCAGGTTTTCAAACACATCCACAGATTATTAGAGCCTGGGAAGGGTGGAGCCCAGTGCCCCTACCGCCTCGGTGCAAAGGATTAGGCTTTGGGCCTCCGTTTCTCACTCAGAGTCTGTTAGAGTGCCAGCAGTTACCTTGGTTAAAACATCATGCAATCCCAAGTCAGAAACCCACAGACGACCAAGATCCTCCTTAGCTGGGTGTGGTGGCACACGCCTTTAATCCCAGCCCTGGGGGTGGAGGAGTTAGGGTGGATCTCTCTGAGTCTGAGGCTAACCTGGTCTACAAAGAGTGTTTCCAAGGCAACCAGAGCTGTTCACAGAGAAACTCTGTCTTAAAAACCAAGAGAAAAAAAAGTTTTTTTGTTTTTTTGTTTGTTTTTTAAAACCATTGTCTGGGGTTCACTTGCTACACAACTCTGTCTTTTTCAATGAACCTTTCCTGAATTTTACCTTCCTCCTCATACACCTGTGGCTGCCATTAGTGATAGCTTTTTGGTGGTAAACTTTCAATTTTGTTTGAAAATGTTTTGGTCTGCCTGTGTTCTGGAGAGATAGCATCTCTGGGCATGGATTTTGAGGTGAATATATTGTTTTTAAATTAATTTTATGTTACTATATAAAACATTTTTTGTTTTTGAGACAGGGTCTCACTATATATCCCTGACTAACCTCAAACTCAGAGATCCACGCCTCTGTCCCCCAAGTGCAGGTAATAAAAGTTATGTGCCACCATATCTGGGCAGTTTATTACTTATGTGTATCCATGTTATACTTGTGTGCCTGAGTTGACATCTGGGTGCTGGAACTGAACCCAGGTCCTCTGGAAGAGCAGCCAGTGCTCTCAGCAACTGAGTCATCTCGCCAGCCCAAATAACAGATTTCTTTCAAGACAGTTTCTCTGTGTAGTGTTGGTACCTGTCCTGGATCTTGCTCTGTAGACCAGGCTGGCCTCGAACTCACAGAGATCCGCCTGGCTCTGCCTCCCCAGTGCTGGCATTAAAGGCGTGCGCCACCGCTGCCCGGCCATTAATGGATTTCTTAATGGCATTTCCATATATGCGCCACTGTACTGTTCTCATCATTTCCCTCCCCCAGTGCCCTTTAGTGACTCCTGTCCCGTCTGCCTCCTTCCCTCCTCAGTCTCCTCCTTACCTCTCGGTGGGTTTTTGACAGGTGACTTGTTTTCTGTCACTGCATTTTGTGACCTTGTAAAAACAACTGTGAGTTTTCCCTCCAAACTTACTGGGATTTGCTGGTGTTCTTGTCAGAACTGATGGCTGGCAGGCAAGTCCAACCTTCTGACATTGGAACATCTACAAGATGTTGTCATCCACAAGTTTCATGTTCCAGAACCACACAACCCCATCACAAGGCAAAAATAAATCATCTCAACAGCTGCAAGCCGCCATATTCAGGGAGGTATGGCCACACACAAAACAAAAACTTGTGTTTAGAGCAAGTCTACAGTTTCGTGTTGGGCACATTCAGAGCTACCCTCAGCTTCACACAGCCACACACAGCTCACGGGGCTGCAGGTTGGACATATTGAGCAGTTTTAGAAAGCTGTATGCCAGTTCTGTGTATGTCCCTATCCTGTTACGTCTCAGGAGGTCCAGCCTCACCCACCAGCCGAGGTCCTGCACCTGATTCATTCTTTCTCCATGTCCTTGCTTAGGGCTGTTCTCTGGATAGTTTTCTAACCTGTCTCAAAATTCACCTTTTTTCCCCCCTGCCCCCCCTGTCTGGGCTAAAAGTGTTCATCTGATGTTTAGTTCATTTGTGGAGACTTTCATTTTATTTATTATTATTATTATTTTTTTTTTTTTTGCGACAAAGTTCCTCTGTGTAGCCTTGGCTGTCCTGGAACTAGCTCTGTAGACCAGGCTGGCCACCAAACTCATAGAGATCTGCCTACCTCTGCCTCCCAAGTGCTGTGATTGAAGTCATGAGTCACCACTGCCTGGCAAGACTTTAATTTATAAATGCAATATTTTTTCACTTCTACAAGTTGATCCATATTGTTTGATATCTTCTTCTAATTCTATTGAAAGATAACACCTTTTGTAAAATAAAGAGTACAGTCCTTGTTCATGTGCTCAAGGACCCCTTCACTTCTTTAGCTGCATAGCGTCATTACTGTCCGCTGTGACCACTCTAGCACCTCGGTCCCCTCAGGTAGTTTTTGTTGGCTTCTGCGGCCTGTGACTTCTTTTTTAAACCTAGCGGAGCTTATCTCCTTGGAACTTCACACAAAATACTTTAGTCTGTTGTGTCTATGTTCTTCTCAACCAGGGGACAAAGTCTCCCTTGAGAACTGTGAAAGTCGTGTCTCTAGACAGTTGGAGTTGTCACAACTGGGAGCCTGTGTGCGCCACCAGCACCAGGGGAGACAGCAGGGGTGCAGCCAAGCTCAAACAAAACAGGTCAACCTGCCGCAGACACTTCCCTACTCCACAGCACTGTGGCTGGGGCTCCAGGGAGCACCCCAGCCTACCAGGACCACTTAAAATTCTCCCTTGATGGTGGCGGTCATGCCTGTAATCCCTGCACTTGGTAGGCAGATCTCTGAGTTCGAGGCCAGCCTGCTCTACAAAGCGAGTTCCAGGACAGCCGGGGCTACACAGAGAAACCTTGTTCCAGGAAAAAGAAAAAAAGTAAAAAAAGTTCTCCCTGGAGGTCTTTAGGGCAATCTGGCTCCAGGCCGCAAACTTCTAAGAAACTATAGTATATTCTAGAAACTAGAAGCAGATGTTTCTCACCCCGCTTGGAATATCGAGGCGATGAGGCCACGTCTGCTGAGTTCCCAGCTGTGTCATCTTGCTTTCATTTACCTCCTCGGATGAGAGGTCTAAAGAGTGTCACCCTAGAGGAGAGCCTGCCTCGCTCCATCTCCTACCTCCAGTCCTGTGATGATATGAGAGGCATGCAGGCCTTCAAGGTGTGCCGGACACTTCAGGGGAAAAGCTGCCCACCTAGCTTGCTGCCCATGTCTCTTCTGTGTGTGGAAGGGGTTTGAGACAGAGTGGCTCTGTGGAGCCCTGGCTGTTCTGGAACTCTATAGACCAGGCTGGCCTCGAACTCAGAGCTCTGTCCGCCTCTGCCTCCTGAGTGCTGGGATTAAAGGGGTGTGCCACCATGTCCATCTGCCACCTGTGGCTTTCTGTTGTGCCATGTGACCTGAGCAAACTTAGGATCTAGTGGACAAAACAGGGACTCTAGTAGATGGAGTGGCTTAGCCTGGGCAAAGCCAAGAGGAAAGTGAGCTTGGCAAGACCCAGAGACCCTGCTGAGACTGGTGTCCCCATGGGACGGGCAATCAGGCCTCAGTTCTGGTTGTCTCAGGCTGTGTCTGGAGAACCTATTAGACTAGTCAAGTGTCCTGAGGGACAGTAGTGCCAAGCCACGGAATGGAAGGGTACCAGGGAAAACCCAAGGAACGAGGCCATCTTGGAGAAGGTGTAGGGGCAGACCAAACCTGTTGCCATGGAGACCTCTCCCTGGACAGCACTGGTCTAAAGGCAAGGTGTTTGGAGCTCATGGAACACAACTGCCTTTTAGAACCACCCAGAAACCACTCTGATTCCTAACGTGGAAGGCTTGGGTGCTGGACTAGCTTGTACCTGAGCTGGGATGCTGTGTAGGCCAAGCACAGAGGGGAAATTAGACCCCATGGGTTATTTCACTGCCAAATGCTCGTACTCCATACTGGAGACTCCAGGCCCCAGCATTCACCTGTGATGTCTCAGTGCCTTGGGTAGCAAGCGCCTGGCCCCATCAGACCAGGCTGAACAGAGACGCCCCTCATCCAGTCTGTACCCATCCAAGCTGTCAGTGGGAGGTGTGAGCCAGGAAACAGAGCCGTATCCAAGGAAGCTAAGCTTCTCCCAGTGCTCCCTGGTTCACTTTTCAATGGCCACACTGTCGGACCAAGTAGGGCATTAAAAGATGGAGGTGTGAGCAGATCCCAGACCCAGGGAATCCCGCATGCCGTGGAATGGGTGTTTTCTGCCCACGGTGCACTCTTAACTTAGCTGGGAAGCCCACACTCACCCATTTGGGGGGATGGGACCTCCCTAGAGGAGGGCCACACCTGAGTTACCTTGATACCATGTACGCTGGACAGTTAGTTAAGGTAAGGCATACAGTAAGGTAGGTAAACTAAGCCACTGGCTTACTTCTAGGAACCAGACTGGCCTGGTCCAGCTGCAGCCAGATTCCTCCTTCCTCAGCCTCTGCTACACACAGACTTCTATCCCTGTGGCTCCTCCAACAGACACAAACAAAGCCCTCTATTAGAGGGCCCCATCCCCCTTCCGTTCCATGTCTCCCTTCTGCTCCCATCTGAGACACAATCACACTGTCTTATGCCCCCCGTGGAGAGCAGGAACTCCTAACCTCTTGGTCTCTGGGCCCCCTAGGCAACCCTCAGTACAAAACATCTACTTGCTCGCTCACTCAGAAACACCATGGTGGCGCTGTAGGGCACAGGACAGAGGGACCCAGCTCAGCCAGCGGCCTCTGCTGGGCATTTTGAGAAGTACAGCCCAGGGTGACCAGTACTTTTTACTAAATACCAGGGATCCCAGGGAGCCCTACAAGAGGGGACAGGACAACTGTAAACAAGCCCCCTCCTTTGTCCAGGGCTGCCTACAGTCAGATAAACCTGGAGGAACGATCCTCTGTCATCCACTGACAATAGAAGTAGCAGCTTCAGGCACGACAGAGCCCTATGAACAGCACCCGCTGTGTCCCGTCAGGCCAGCCTGGACCAAGCCTCAGGACAGTCCAGACTACCAGAGTGGAGGCAGGCGCCCCCTCAAGGGCTCTGAGGGCTAAGCCAGACGGCAGTCTCCAGTCAGAAGACAGGCTCACAGCAGTGCCACGGGGCCGAGGCTTGAGTCTGTGTGCACATCCTAGAGAGGTCCCAGCAGCTAGATGAAAGTGGAGTCCAGAGGCCCGGCATCCTGCTGACTGAGAGCCCGGGCCTCAAAGAGCTGCTTGATGAGCGCAGACTTCTCCTGCTCCAGCTGAGTGATGCGCTCGCTCTTATCCGTCACCTCCTGGGCGGGCGGGCGGGCAGGAGGGCGGGCGGTCAGGTGGTCAGGGCTTGCTGGGCAGCCAGCCCCAGCCCCCCCTTCCCACACCTCACCTGAGTGAGAAGCCGGTTCTGTTCTTTCAGCATGAGAATGGTCTGCTGCTGCCAGACTGGTGTTGAGGGAGAGGTGGGACCCAAGGAAGACGAGGGCAGAGCCTGTGGGAGTACACAATCAGGCAGAGCATCCAGAGCAAGGGCAAGGGGTGCCAGGGAGGCTCCAGGGCACTCACCCGGCCAGAACAGGCTGCAGTCAACAGCTCCCCCAGGCACCGGGCCACCTCCTGCACTTTGGGCAGCAACCTCCCCAGAGGGAGGGGACTCCCTGCAGTCCCGAAGTCCTGGAAGAGAGGCAGGGAACACCAGGCCATGAGGAGATTCCTGCACCGGGCACTCCTGTCCCGTCCCCCCCCAAGTTTCAGCTCAGAGTCTAGAGAGAGCCCACCCAAGGCAGCTTGGGTCCCGACGGCAAGGGTGGGTGGCCCCGCACTCACAGCACCAGCTCGGCTCTGGCTCAGGCGGCGCTGACGATCCCGCACACGCTGCAGCTGCTGCTGGTACCACTCCCGGCCCCGCGCCATCATCTCCAAGCCCTGCAGCAGCACCTCCTGCTCCTGCTCTAACTCCTTCATCTGCTTCAACTAGAACACACACGGGCACGGAGGGATGTACGCCTGCCGGCGAGCAGACTGGCATTCCGCAGAGCTGCACCGCCCGTGTGCTCCAGGAACCCCAGGGGTGGAAGCTGAGGCCTGGGCGCAGGCAGAGCAGCACACGGGCAGAGCAGCACACGGACAGACCGGCGCACGGGCAGACCGGCGCACGGGCAGAGCAGCACACACACAGGCAGAGCAGCACATGGTCAGAGCAGCACACACACAGGCAGACCAGGGCACAGGCAGAGCAGCGCACGCGCAGAGCAGCACACACACAGGCAGACCAGCGCACGGGCAGAGCAGCGCACGGGCAGAGCAGCGCACGGGCAGAGCAGCGCACGGGAAGACCAGCACACAGGCTCAAATACCACATCAGTGCAAAGACACACACGGAAGGAGGCACCAGCGGACGCAGGGAAGGTTATGCCTTGGAGAACACCACCCAGTTCCTCCTCTTTGGATGATGGTGGGAATGGGGCCTGGCCTCTCTCCCGCCCCTCTACTGACGCTTCCCCAAGGGCAATGGAGTGAGCGACCAGACTCAGCACCTTGCTCTCTGTGCACCAGACTGGCCTGCAGAGGTGAGCCTCATGAGGTAGGCGGGGCAGGGGCTCCAGCTGCCACCAGGCCTCCCTAAAGAACCTCCTCTCTGGCGCATGCCTTTAATCCCAGCACTCAGGAGGCAGAGCCAGGAGGAGCTCTGTGAGTTCGAGGTCAGCCCGGTCTACAGAGGGAGATCCAAGACAGGCACCAAAACTACACACACGAAGAAACCCTGTCTCAAAAAACCAAAACCAAAACCAAATTCCCCCCCACTTCCCCACCCCCAAAAAGAACTTCTTCTCCTCCCTCTACCTGATTTTGCCTGTCTTCCCTCTAGTAGATCCAAGCCCAGGAGAGAGAGATTCAAAGCTGACCAATTCTCCTATAGGGGTTCCCCAAGTAACCAGGCTCATGGTTTCCAACCTTCTGGACAACATAGAGAGTCCCTCAGAGTCCTGGCCCCTCTCACCAGGCCACAGTCCACACCGTTGGTGATGGTATGCCTTCGGCGTTCACCTCGGGCCCGTGGAGTCTGCCGGGCTTCACCTTTGCCTGTGTCCAGGGTCTTGCAGGCTGCGGCACCTGTAGCAGACAGTCAGGGTCATAGCTTGGCTCTGGGCCTGCCTAAGGGGCTCCACATCTCATCCCAGCTCCTTAGCCCTTCCAGGCCCCTCCAGCTAACTCTGATAATGCAAACCCCAGGGACCAGGGCTGTCCCGGGAACCTCTCTGTCGGTCCTGATCCCTGAGGACGCTTTATCGGTTGACTTTGGACCTGGCTGGGATTCCGTCTCCTCTTGCCTGTCCTGCTTCCCTGGCCTGCCCTAAGGAGGGCCCTGAGCTCCCTGAAGGGCTGGAGAGAGAGCAAGAATCCAGCTCTTTCCTGCACTCCTCCTCAGTGCCTGAAAACACAGCGGGTACCTCTCACGAGTACCAAAGGATGAAGAGTAAAAGATGAGACGGACAAGGTCATGACGTGGTGGCGCAGGCCTTTAGCCCCAGCACTCAAGAGGCAGAAGCAGGCAGATCTCTGTGAGTTCAAGGCCAGCCTGGTTTACACAGTGAGTTCCAGGACAAACAGAAGTATGTAGAGAGAGAGACCTTGTCTCAGAAAAACAAAACAAACAAACAAAAGGGATGGATCAGCAGAACACTCTGGCTCATTCCACGCCTTTCTCAACTGCCTGGGCCCTTCTGGCACAGCACCTGGTAGTGGAGAAACTCTCCATTGGTGGTGGAGACATCATTCTTGCCCAGAAGCAAATCACACTCTAAAGCAAGTTGTGCATATATGTGCCATAGACTCCTGTGAGCATCATCTAGAGGGCCTCCCCAACTACCAAAACAGGGCACAGCAGGGAGGAGAGGACCTTCCCCCAGCCCCCCAGCCCTATCCCTGGCATCAGGATCACTCCTGAGGCTAAGTCATAGGAGTAACAGATACATTAATGGTGCTTGGATGTGCATGACAGACTCTAGTTCCCAGCAGGCCCCAAAGTTCATGTCTCAGCCTGCAGTGTCAGGGTGAGACCATGGGAGGTACCCAAGGATACTGCCTCCAGAAGGTGGGGCCAGAGCAGGTCCTGGCAATGAGTTCTAGGAAGGAACCCTGGGACACTTGGACCTGACTAGCACAGGAAGGAGCCATACATCACAGGGTTCGGAATTTGGGGCCTTCCGTGTGTTGGGAGGACTTTGCTATGGGGGTGCTAACATGGCTCTGTGGCTCCTCCAAAGCCAGCTTTGTCCAGCATACCATAACCCTTACTGGGCCTTGGCTGACCTATAAAGGAGTGAGAGCTAGAGCCTACTAGCTTACAGAGCAGTGGGAATATTGCCCTGCCACGGGCCCTGAGCACATGACCTTCAGAGAAGTCACCGAGCCAGGGCCACACAAGGTAGAACAGGCAAACCCTGAGCCTGTTGATTACCCACAATCCTACCACATGGACAGGGAGTCAGGGCTGGAACAAGTAACAGTCTGTGTGTGTGTGTGTGTGTGTGTGTGTGTGTGTGTGTGTGTGTTTATATCAATTCACAAGGGAGGCAGGAGAGGTCTGGCGAGGCTGGCGGAGCAGTGGGCGGCCCTGCACCTGGCCGAACAGCGCACAGAATGAATGGGCTGCAGGGCTGAGAGAGCCTTGGGCTCCTGTGAGAACCTGCCTCCACGCTGAGCCATAATGCGGGTCCTGTTCTCAGGGCAGACAGGGGGCTATTCAACAGTCTCCTGTCCCTGCCAACTAGACCGGAAGGAGGGAGAGGAGCCTGGTGGATCCCCAGAGACTGTGGTCTGTGTCCGGCAGGGTGTCTGCAGCAGCTCAGCACAGCAGGTGCTATGGACACCCACACCCCTACACACACACACACACACACACACACACACACACACACACACACACACACACACGACACCTCCTTCAGCACTTGTGCTGGGTGCTCCTGGGCCACCTCCTCGGCCTGGGTGGAGAAGCAGGCCGGGTTGCCTCTGCAGGGTGTCACACCACTGAGAACGATCTCCAGGACAGGTTAGAGGATGCTTGCTTTTAGGAAGAAACGTGTGCCCAAGCAGTCACACAGAAATGAGGATGGGGGCCCAGGTGTCCCCAGGTCTAGGGCAGGTACAGCAGGTACGTGCCTTCTCTCACCGCGGCAGGTGCTCAGGCTTGAGAAAGAGTGGGCTTCTCCTGGGTGTTCAGAGTCACCGACCTGCCCTTGGCCCTGGGCAAGGCCTCTGCCCGCAGCTCACAGGGGGACAGGCCGAAGTCCCTTTCCATCAGGTGGTCCCAACCTTGCTTTAGGCTCTGGGGCCTGCCCACAGTGGTCCCCATCTCCATCCCTCTGAGGAAACCCTGCCGATCTCGTTTTCAGCACGGGTCCCAGGAATTATGAAGGACTGGGGGCCGCCCAAACTCACCCGCGTCCGCGCTCGGGCTCCGCTCCAGCGCCTTATTCGGGGGCCGCTTGGGCTCCTCAGGAGAGGGCGCCGCCTCCGCTGGGACACACGGTAGCTCAGGGTTCCGGGAGGTGCTACTGGGGCCAGCAGGCGCGGGGCGCGCACTCGGGGGCAGAGGCTTCTTCTCCAGGACAGTCCGCGGCTCGTCGGCCGGTACGAACATCAGGCGCTGCTGCAGCAAAGGCTGGTCCCCAGATCGGGCAGCGACGCGTGCCTGATCCCTCGGGCGCCCGTTGGCGTTCAGCAGCGAGGTGCGCAGACCCGCCACGAAGCGCTCGAAGGTCAGGTAGCCATTGGCGGGGGCCACCTGGCGCAGGCCCTCGAGCACGCCGCAGGGCAGCTCGCGGGCGTCTGCACCCTGCCAGCGGGACTCGATCTCGCGCAGGTGCACGTAGCCGCGCTGCCGGTCGTCCAGGATGTCGAAGAGGGTGCGCAGGCTCTGGAGAAAAGCTCGCGGTAGCCCCTCCGTGCTAGGCGCGGGCGCGGCGTGCGGGAGGCGGCCACTCTCGGCCATCGCTGCCACGGCCATGGGCACCCAGCTTCCATCCGCGTCGGTCCCCACAAGACCAGAAGGCGGGACCTGCACGGCGCGCGCCCCGCCACGACAATAGTTGCTGTTTTTGAATGGAGCTCCCCTCGCCGCCGCGTCAGCGCTCATTAGTATTCACGGCGGCTATTGGTCGGAACTGGCGCATCTGCTCCGGGATTGGCTCGGCAACCACCAGTCCAGTTTGATTTTCCCTGCGGTCGGGGTGGGCGCCTCCGCCACCCGGCCAGGGAGTGGGGCCCCGGAGGTGTGACAAGGTATGAGCGGAACCCGCCAGAGTTCTCACCTCGGCTCCCACGATCCCCCTGCCTCCACGCCCACCATCCCTCCTGCCTGGGTAAAGCCTTTTCTCCCATCCATTTGTGCTCCGCCCTGCCAGCCACTTCTCTGAGGGGCGGAGCGTGGCGCCCTTTACAGCTCTTGTACCCAGGTAGCCTCACGAGTAAGGATGGGAGGGTTCAGCTCCTCTTGCTCCCTTCGGTCCTTTTCACTGAGGGGATGGGCTATGGGGCTCCCTTCCCTTGCATCAGGAACGCCCCAAGAGGATTAAAGGCTCCAGACAGTTGGGCGCTCTCCTTCACTGAGGCCTCTGTCTCTACAACTACCAGCTCTACCTTTGGTCCTTTGGGACAGTCTGCCTTGTCCCGCCAACTATAGGACAAAGCCAAGTTGTCTTGTGTCCCCAGATGCCCGTCCGGTGACCAGCTCCCTTGAGACAGGGTTTCTCTGTGTAGCCCTGGCTGCCCTGGAACTCACTCTGTAGGCCAGGCTTCCCTCGAACTCAGAAATGCATCTACCTCTGCCTCTCACATGCTGCGATTAAAAGCACGCACCACCACACCCGGCTTTCTGGCCTTTTCTTTTATGAATATCTCATCTAGCCATTATCCTGGCCCTCACAGCCGGGCCTAGTTTTCCAGTGGGACCACTTGGATTCTAGGCCTTCACTCTTGAGCCAGAAGCGCATCTCAAGGGTTGGCTAGAGGCCAAGCACCTCCCAGAGGCCAGGAAGGTCCTTAGGATGCCTTACCCCTCACCACCACCTACAACAAGTCCTTTGCTTGGCTCCTATCCTCCACCTGATCACCTTCCCAAACTTCTGAATGTCACAGAAACAGAAATGTAGCCCCTGAGAACAGTCCACATGTTAGCTGCTGCCTCTACACTGGGACACTCGTCAACAACGTTGCTGAGTGCTTCGGGACAGGCTCTTAACTCAGGACCTCACTCCAGCCCATCTGGGCAGGCTTCTGGCCAGATGACTCAGGCTGTGGAAGCAACTTCCTTGGCTCCACATTTCTGGGAGTTACCCCTTCAAAATTGCTTTTATTTGTTTTGTTTGTCTTGAGACAGGATCTTACTATGCAACTGTGGATGTCCTGGAACTTGCTAGTGGACCAAGCTGGCCTGGAACTCAGATCCCCTGAGTACTGGGATTAAATGTGTGCACTCCCACACCCATCTCACTCAGAGTTGTGGTTCAGTCCTGCTTGGGTATGCTGGTGGAGGTCTCTAAAGAACTATGAACCCCGAGTTACTCCCTGGAGCCTAGCTGCCACTTTAGGGGCAGACCTGGTCAAAGACCCTCTGAGGCCTAGGTGCTCCTGGCACAAATGCGTAGGTCTAGGAGTAGCCAAGCATCAAGTGAAACCAATGCTGCTCAGAACAGCAGAGCTAACAAGGCCAGGGCCCCGGTGAACCTGAGTCTACTTGGGGAGAAGATAAGAGCCTGTGGGTTTTGGGGAGGTGGAGCTCGTAAGGCCCCACCCCTTCCTAGGCAGCAACTGGCAGGTAATAGTTGCAGGGGGAGGGAGAGTCATATTCCTCAGCAGTGAAGTCACCAGTAATTACCTTTGCTCGCGTCAAGACCCTCCAACTGGTGCTCATGCTGGCGATTAAATGCAGAGGGACACACATGCACGCACAGACATGAAAGAATGAGGGGCCTTGTTGGGAAGAGGAAAGGGTTTGGAAGGAGGGAAAAGGGACTAAGAAAAGATAATGGGGGAATAGGATCAAGTACATTATATATGTATGAAGTTGTGAAAGAATAAATTAATTTCAAAAAAAAAAAAAAAGAAAGAAAGAAAGAAAAGAAAGGACCTAAGAGCCTCTTATTGCCCAGAGCTCAGCAGAAGGTAGCTGAAGCCCTGGGTCTTCCTTATGATTGATCACTGGAGAAAGTTCTGGAAGAGAGTGGAATCTGCCTAGCTCTGGGTGCAGGGCGAGAATCTGTGCACACCTGCATCTTTTCTGGCCTGAACCCTGAGCACATCCTCCTTCCACTTTTCTCCCAGCCTGGCCTGACACTCTCCCAGCCTGGCCTGACACTCTCCCAGCCTGGCCTGACACTCTCCCAGCCTGGCCTGACACTCTCCCAGCCTGGCCCGACACTCTTCTGGCCCTGGGGCTCAGTTCTACTGCCACCCCCAGGGAACTTCCAGAATCCAAACCAGGTGTGACTATGTTCTCCCTGTGCCAACCATGATCCTTGGAGAGAGGTGTGCAGGGGTACAGACGGGGGTGAGGTTGGCAAGACTCCGATGCCTCTTGGTGTAGCTCCCAGCGATGTGGAGAGGGGCCAGCTGTGTTGCCTGGTTCCAGCCCTCCCTAGGTTTCTCTGGTCTCTGCTCTGGCCTTAGTCCTAGGCCCTTGACAAAAAAAAAAAAAAAAAAAGACAAATGGGAAGCCGCTCTGCAGGTGATGCAGAGGGTTGGGTCCAGCCGGACTTTTCCACCCTCACAGCTTCACCAGGATCCAGTGAAGTGTACCTTTGCCTGCCCAGGGAGGCATAGTCTCCTGGTCTTGGAAATGCTTTCAGCTATACACACCGGTGTTTCCAACCTCTGACCTTGATCCACGCCCACACCGTGAGGCAGGATTTAGGATCCATCTGACCGAGCAGGCTCATAGGTCATGCCTGACCTGTCTCCCAAGAGGCTCATGCCCTTCCTTCCCTGCCTAGCCCCAAAGGCGATAATGGCGGCCGTGGACTCTGGCCTGGGATGTGGAGCCTAGGCGACTCACCTGACTCTGTCTGTCTACTGTCCTCACTTCCCACACGTTTCCTGAAGTTGTCTGTTCATTGCCTGGAAGTCATACCAGGGCAGACTGTGTGCTCATTCATTCATTCAGCCAGCGGCACTCCCTGAACATTTTGCTGTGACCCCGTCATGGTGGTGCTTGGCTTGGGATCCAACACTCCTTTGTTCAGTAGACAAACATGTCCCTGTGTCTGCTATTCGTGGAGGAGACAGAGAGTAATGAACCAAACAGTATGCTGCCTGTGAGTTGACTTCTCATGGAGAAGTCAGGCAGCAGAGAATGTAAGAATGTAAGTGTTGTGCTCATGTCGTGAGACCCCCAAGCAAGACCACCACAGAGCCAATATCCAATGCAAATACAAAGGGATTTATTTAAACAAGCAAGCCCAAGCTTGGTCCACGTCCAACACACTGGCTGGCCAAGTGAAAGATGACGGCCCTGAGCTCTCAGAGTGAAGGTTTTTTTTTTTTTTTTTTTTTTTAAGATTTATTTATTTATTATGTATACAGTGTTCTGCCTGCAGGCCAGAAGAGGGCACCAGATCTCATCGTAGATGGTTGTGAGCCACCATGTGGTTGCTGGGAATTGAACTCAGGACCTCTGGAAGAGCAGCCAGTGCTCTTAACCTCTGAGCCATCTCTCCATCCCCCAGTGAAAGGTTTTTAAAGGGGAAAAAACACAAGCCAGGGGGTACAAGCCTTTGCATTTCAGGGTCACACTTCAGTTAACAGGAACATTTAGCCAAGAGAAGAACTACAGAAGACAAAATACAGTTGGAGACCCTCCCAGTACTACTGGAGACTTTGATGGATTAAGCCTTTGTCTTTTTTTTAGAACTGAGGACCGAACCCAGGGCCTTGCACTTGCCTGCTCTACCACTGAGTTAAATCCCCAACCCCTGGATTAAGCCTTTGTTTTAGCTATTTCTTGGCCAGCAGCCTACCCATCCTGGGGTGGGGGGTCACCTTGACCAAAGTCTTAGCTGAGTGTCTGTGTCTCTGAAACTTGGTTCAGCTTCTTTCTTAGTGCTCTTAGGAAAAATGGAGTTTGTCTTGCTCTCTCAGTGCTGTGAAGAAGGGTGTGAAAAAGATGGAAGAAAAGCCATTCATTGCAAAGGTTCTGAGGCAAGGCTAAGCTGTGGCTGTAGACAAAAACCCTTTCTGGGCCAGGAGAATTTGTGGTCTCCATTCTTGCTTTTGGATTGTTGGGTTTTGTTTTGGTGGAGTTTTTTTGTTTTTGTTTTTGTTTTTTTTTACAAGAGGCTTTATGTAAACTGTGTGTTAGGAGTGAATGCCTTTAATCCCAGCACTTGGGAGGCAGAGGCAAGAGGATCTCTGAATTCGAGGCCAGTCTAGTTTACAGAGTAAGTTCCAGGATAGCCAGGGCTACACAGTTAAACCCTGTCTCCAAAAGACAACACACACACACACACAGACACACAGACACACACACAGACACACACACACACACACACACACACCAAAAGGCTTTATGAAAAAGCAAAATAAAGCAGAGCTGCAGAACGGGTCTGGAAATCAAGTCCTTAGGGGATGCAGGTTAAAGCCAGCCTGGGTCTGGCCTCCTCACAGTGCGACAGAAAGATAGGCTGCCAGAGGCTTCTCGGTGAAAGCTTACACGATCAAACAGGCTCCTCAGGCTCAGACTCTACCAGGAGAGGCTCCGAGGCCACCCTCTCGGCTGTGGACACGCAGGAGGGTGGGTTAGGTCTGGCCAGCCCAAGAGAACACCCAACCGGCGCGACCTCCTTCCCTTCTCTGGGCGAGGACAGAACAGCTCCGCCCACATCGGAGGCGTGATGGTATTTAGGAGAGAAACGCCTAGGCTTGGGAGACCAGGAGGACTAGGAGGGCCTGGCTTGAGTACACCTTGAGTTTGGGGTCAGGAGTAGAAAGGACCTGGGTCGTGTGCGCAGCCTGGAGCAGAGTTACAACAGAATGCCAGATCTTGGGCGGGGGACTGTACTAAAAGGGATTGGAGAGGGGCGGAGCCAAAGGGGACCGAACTGAAGCTCTAAAGGAGAAGGGGGCGGGGTCCCGGGTGGAGGTGCTGCGCCCTAGGCCGGCCTCTCCGGGATCTGCACCGCCTGCCTGAAGTCTCGTGATGTTGGTCATAAGGTCTCCAGTGCCAGCTGGGCCAGCCGCCGCGGTTGCAGCATGGCCTCGGAGCAGGATGTGCGGTCCAAGCTGCAGCGCGCGGGCCAGGATCATCTCCTCCGCTTCTGGGACGATTTGGCTCCCGAGCCTCGAGCGGCGCTCCTAGCGGAGCTCGCCTCGCTGGAGCCCGATGTTCTGCGTGAGCACTGCCAGCGTGCCTCGGCCGCCTGCTCGCTAGCCCCGGGCCCTCTGCCGGACCTGGCGGCGCGCCTGCAGCCCCTGCCCCCAGAACGCGTAGGCAGCGCGACCCGCTGCGACCAAGAGACACGCCGGCGGTGGGAAGAGGAAGGTAGGCAGCACCGCACTGGGCGGGGGTTGGGCAGGCGCTGCCCATTGCGTCCGGAAGAGTTAGTTCCTGGCGGGGTGGGAGGGACTCTGGAAGTGCTGTGTGGAGTTATTTGCCTTGCAGCTCCTTCCTCTTGCGCTTAGTAGACCCCGAAGCTGTGCATTAGCAAGCCCTAAAGAGGAAGAGACCTGTCCTCACGATGCGCCTCCCCTCCAGGTTTCCGACAGATTGCTCTGAACAAGGTGGCTGTCCTGCTGCTGGCCGGTGGGCAGGGAACTCGCCTGGGCGTCACCTACCCTAAGGGCATGTATCAAGTAGGGCTGCCCAGCCAGAAGACCCTGTACCAGCTGCAGGCAGAGCGGATCCGGCGTGTTGAACAGTTGGCTGGCCAGCGACTGGGGACCCACTGCACCGTGCCCTGGTGTGTCCTCCCTGCCAACCTCCCAGAAAGACCACCCTTAAGTGACCCAGGCCTGCCCCACACCAAGACCTGAAACCCAGTCCTAGCACAGCCCTAGAGAGAGCCCAGCGCCTGCCCTTACTGAGCCCCATGAAAGGCTTGTTCCCGCCTCACCTGCCGGGGTGAGCCGAATTGCTCTGGAAGCAGCTCACTGCTAGGACATTTACAGGTACATCATGACCAGTGAGTTTACACTGGGACCCACCATCAAGTTCTTCAAGGAGCACGACTTCTTCCACCTAGACCCCGCTAACGTGGTCCTGTTCGAGCAGCGCATGCTACCTGCAGTGACCTTTGAGGGCAAGACCATACTGGAACGGAAAGACAAAGTTGCCATGGCCCCAGGTATGGCCCACACCTTGAATGGGGAAGGGTTGCCCTACCTGGACCACAGAGTGCCGCGGTGGGTCGGGAGGCCCGACTCCCAGGTAGGATGTGCTCAGTCTGGAGTCCTATCTGTCACATGATACAGTCACAAGGCTCTTGGTGGTTTGTGCTCCTGCTGCCTTCCTTCACTAGACCGAGCAGGAGATCAAGCTGGAGTCCATGGGAAGACTCATTCCTTTCTCCTTTGCAGATGGAAACGGGGGCTTGTACCGTGCCCTGGCGGACCACCAGATCCTTGAGGACATGGAGCGGCGGGGCGTGGAGTTTGTGCATGTGTACTGTGTGGACAACATCCTGGTGCGTCTGGCGGACCCGGTCTTCATAGGCTTCTGTGTGCTTCGGGGAGCAGACTGTGGTGCCAAGGTGAGCAGCAAGCCTTTATTTTCCTTGGCACTCGGCTCTGCCGCTTGCCAAACCCTGTCCCTCTTCTCGACCCTGTCACTCCCGGCACGCTGAGTCTCTCCCCGGTGGCTGCAGGTGGTGGAAAAAGCATACCCCGAGGAGCCAGTGGGTGTGGTGTGCCAGGTGGATGGTGTCCCCCAGGTGGTGGAATACAGCGAGATTAGCCCCGAGATTGCTGGGCTCCGAGGGGCTGGCGGGGGCTTGCTCTACAACACAGGCAACATCTGCAACCACTTCTTCACCCGAGACTTCCTGGATGTGGTCACCAGGTGTGTGGCAACAGGTGGCTGTGGCAGCCCAGGCTAGGCTGAATTTAAGAATGCTACGCCAGGTGGTGGTGGCGCATGCCTTTAATCCCAGCACTTGGGAGGCAGAGCCAGGTGGATCTCTGTGAGTTCGAGACCAGCCTGGGCTACCAAGTGAGTTCCAGGAAAGGCGCAAAGCTACACAGAGAAACCCTGTTTCATGTCTCGGAAAACAAAACAACAAAAGCAAAAAAAAAAAAAAAAAAGAGTGCCAGAGCAGCTTGAGCTGACCTAGACCGAGCTGGGCCACTATTGGGAGTGCACGGGGTTGGGTGGAGAGAATTCCTGTCACTACATTAATAAGCCAGATCCCACCAGAGTCTGGGCAGTTGGGATGAGCCCTGGTTAAGGCTGTCTCTTAACCCCACTGCTCATGGCTGCCACCTCTGGCCTGTCATTAGCCTGGGCAGCATTGTGGCTCGTGGTTCCTGGCTTTTGGCCCTGGGGATGCTGGGAGAAAACCTGTATCCTTCCCAGAGATGTAGCTAAGCATCACCTGGCCGGGTAGACAGAAGTACCCTACCTGAACCCACCCCTTTTGCCCTCTTGCTACCAGGGAGTTTGAGCCCTTGCTGAAGCTGCATGTGGCTGTGAAGAAGGTCCCCTACGTGGATGAGGAGGGAAATCTGGTAAAGCCGCTAAAACCGAATGGGATAAAGATGGAGAAGTTTGTGTTTGATGTGTTCCAGTTTGCTAAGTTAGTGGTAGAAGTCGCTTATTTTTCTCTTCTTCCCTCTCTTGGTTCTGGTAGTGGGTTCGGAGGTCCCGGAGGGCAGTAGGGAAGTGGGAGCTTGGTGAGGGGCAGGGGTGGGGGCAGGTGAGGGACTATAGGTTGGTTTGTCCCGGGGAAGTCCACAGGCTGTTCTTGCCCCTAAGAGCAAGAGCAGAGGTTCTGAGGGGACCAGGAGCAACCCCCTGAACCCCCACAATCCTGACCCAAGGTCGGATTTGCTGCGTGAGTCCCATATCCTCTGCCTCTGAACATGTGGCGAGTGGGCGGTGGAGGACTTGAGGCTTCTTAGGATCTCAGGAAAGCAAAGATGCTTTCTGTGCCTGTGGGGCCCTCCCAGACCACCGTACGCATGGAAACAACTCCCGTTTGGGGAAATCTGGCTTACCCTTGCCAGCCCAGAGCAGAGCAGCTCTGGGGATGCAGGGGCACGAATGCAAGGGGGCGGGGATGCAGGGGCATGAATGCAAGGGGGCGGGGATGCAGGGGCACGAACCCTTCTCTCCACCAGGAACTTCGTTGCCTTTGAAGTGCCTCGGGAGGAGGAGTTCTCCCCGTTGAAGAATGCGGACACAGCCAGCACTGATAACCCCTCCACCTCCCGGAGAGCTTTGTTGGCTCAGCACTACCGCTGGGCTCTGCAGGCCGGAGCCCACTTCCTGGATGCACATGGGGTCCAGCTTCCCGAGCAGTCTGGGTGAGGGGCTCAGAGGTTAGCCTGGGGCCTGTTGATGCTGCCACTGTCCAAGCTGGCTTCTAACCCAGCACCACACCACACGCAGGCTTCTATGTTCCCAGCCAGCGACAGCCTGCCTGCTGACTGTTGGCTCAGCCTCTTAGTCTCAGGTTATGCTCAGGGGAGGCAGGGTCTCAGATGCCCCCAAATGTATCCCCATAAGCCCCGAAGATGAGACCTAGGCCTAACCCTGGGGAGACACGGAAGGTCTGACCTTAGAGACCTTTGGTGTTTATCTCCTTTGTTGCTGTGCTGGAAGGGCAGCTCGGCCTGGCTGCCTGAGCTCTGTGCGAGGGCCCTGTGTAGTAATTTAATTTTCTTAGCTGAGCCAGAGCCTGTTACTTGGCAGATGGCGTGCGTGCATGGGTTTGGGCTGTATAGAGGGTGGAGTCTGCTGGGGAGACTGGTGTGTGGCATTGATGCTGGACAGGCACTTGCCTCTTCATGTCCGGAGGGTGCTGGGAGGGCCCCTGGCATTCACTTGAGAGGCGATGCTGACCATTGCTCTCCCCCAGCTTGCTCCCAAATGGAGACCCTCCAGCCATCTGTGAGATAACGCCCTTGGTGTCTTACTCTGGAGAGGTGAGTATCCAGGCCCTGTCCAGGATTTTGTGAAGTCTGGTGTGGGGGAACCGGAAGCAGAAAATGGGAGAAGCAGGCACCGGGCTGGACAGGTCCTAGCCCTGCTTCAGTTGGCCAAAGAGTGCCGTAGACTGAGGTCTGGAGGTCTGGAGGCCTTTGCAAGTCTTGGGAGGGCGTGGGGTACAGGAAAGGACTGAGGCTGAGACCAAGGTTTTGGGGCGTCTTCCTGGACACTAGCCCTCTTCTGACCCTGCCTGACAGGGTAACACTGGACTCCTGTTTCGGGTGGCTGGAGGGGGTATGGGCAGAGGAAGTAGACGCTTAGCCTCTCTAACCCTTTGTTTCTAGGGGTTGGAGATGTACTTGCAAGGCCGAAAACTCCAGTCTCCATTCATTCTGGATGAGGACCAAGCCAGGCTGCTGCAGCCACAGAAGTGCTAACCTGCTTGCTCCCAGCCTCTCCAGCCCTGGGGGCCTGTCAGATGCTGATAGAGCTCTGGCCCAGGCTCTGACTAGAAATGCTGGCCTGCGGGGCACAGAAGGGAGTGTGCTAGTTTACTTCACAAGGTTGGGACCTCTTGGGTCCCGTCCGTCCGTCCCCACCCCCCCGGGGGGGGGCGCTGTGACTGTCTTCTATGTGTGGTGTTTGCTTGTTTTGTTTTTGTCTCATTGCTGACTCTGGGACTCAGCTGATGGGCAAAGGGTTGGGGACCTTGGAAAATGCGGCTAGAGGTAGAGTGTGAGGAGGTGTTGTCTGAGAAGGGACAGGAGACGCCCTCTGTCATCCGCACAGGCCAGCCACATGCCCAGCAGACGGTGAGATGTGCCTCATGGGGATATGGTTAAAGGACCCCTCCTCCCAGTAGCAGACCCAGTAGCTGAGCACGTCACCCCATGTGCCTAGACAGAAGAAGCCTGATGCCCTGGTTAAAACTAGCCTTGAGAACTCTGATCCGCACACTGAGATGAAAGCAGTTCTCCGGGCCTTCCCCAGCTGTCTCCCACAGCCCCAAGTCTCCCAGTCGACACCCACAAGTGGGCCTGGCTGCTGTGTTCTTAAGTCTTTCCCCCCAGAGAACCGGAGGCCACACTGTTGACTCGGACTGGCTGCTGGTTCTGACCCAGTCCGGAGCACACCTCATCCTGCTTAGTTTCTTTTCCCAGAGCTTAGCGCTTAGGCTCTCCGCTGGAGGTGTAGCCTCTGTCTGTCTAGGTGGTGCTCAGCTCTGCCACCCAGCCTTGTTCTGTCTCTGACACGACTCCGTTGACTCATAGCCACTTTCCCATGTGGGAAAATGGTGACACTGGCCCTTCCCCAAATGTAACCGTGGTTAGGAGAGGCAGCCTGCTCCTCAGCCACCCAGCCCCAGATGTGTGGGCTCCTGCTCTCATCCCTGGCCGCTTTCCCAGAGGAGGTTTCTGGGAAGAGTATATTTACCATTCAGTGTGGAAACAGCGGGTCTGGACGTGGGAAAGATGGCAGGATTGGGCCCATGGCCGCCATTGTTGGGACTGACATGTCAAAGACAAACTGGGCTCTGTGGTCATTTGCTGTCGGCCCCAGGAGCAAGCTGTATTTTGGCACCCTTCTCTTGCTGCTCCACACACAAGCTGGGGTCCCTGGAGCAGGAGAGGGTCCCTGAGGGAGATCACAGCCTCAGGCTCCTCCTGAATAAACAATCAGTTGGGTGAATTCTTGAAAGGAGTTAAAAAAAAATTCAAAGAGGCCTCCATGTCCTTCACCCATTTCCCTGGTGAGGGTATCTTACATGATTATAAGACACTATGAAGCTGGCAGTGAGGGGGCGCAGTGTATAGAGCTTTCAGGGGGCTGTATTATTGTACCCAAATTGTTCCCTCACCCTAGAGCTCTCCAGGCACACCCCACCACTCCTAGACCCAGACTGCCCTGAAAAGACTGACTTTTGAGAGACTGGACATTGTTTTCACAGACAGGACATATGCAGTAAATCCCGGCCGGCCACGGGTTGGTTTGTCTTTTTTGGAGGCAAGGTCTTGTGTATCCCAGGCTGCCCTTGAATTAGCTACATAGCCAAGGACGACCTTGGACATCTGAACCTCCTGGATAAGGTGTTTAGTTTATGGGATGGTGGGAACTGAATCCAGGGCTTCCTTTGCGTGGTAGGCAAGCGCTCTACCAACAGCTCCAGCCCCAGGTGCAGTGTTTCATGGCATACAGACGGGGGTGGGTATATCCAAGGGACAGGGCCTTGGGAACAGGAGGCTGCCCAAGAAACCTTTCATGCTTCTATCCTGCTCTTCACTGGGGATTCAGAAAAACCCAAGACATAGGACACTCAGGGAAGTCCACTGGAGTTGGGCTGGAGGCTCACCCACGTGCACGTCCCTTCTTGATAAGCCTGTACTTAGTTACTTCAGGACGCACCGCTTGAGGGCATTGCTGGGACTACCTACAGTTATTTGTTGGAAGACAACCTGCAGGACACTGAATGGGACCTTGAGAAGGGAAGAGTCATGAGTCGTGACAGCACATGCCTTTAATCCCAGTACTGGGGAGGTAGAGGCAGGCTGATGTCTGTGTTCGAGGCCAGCCTGGTCTACAAAGCAAGTTCTAGGACAGTCAGGGCTGTTACACAGACACCTTGTCTTGAAAAACACAAAAAACAAAAGGGAAGGAGACAGACCAGGAGAGTTTTCAAATTCAGAGAAACCAAAGGCCAGGCAGGCTTGCCACATGGGGACCCCTTCAGGCACCCAGAAATGCACACTGTAAATGTGCAGCTGAAACCTGGGTGTGGTGCACACCTTTAGTGCCAGTACTATGGAGGCAGAGGTAGGCAGATCTCTTGAGTTCGAGGCCAGCCTGGTCTGCATAGCAAGTTCCAGGTCAGCCAGGACTACATAGCAAGACTGCATCTCAAAAACAAAAGCTGTGTAGCTGGGCCTGGAGCAGACGAGTCAGGGAGCTGCTTATACTCCACAGACGCTGCTCACACTCCACAGATGCTGCTTTGCAGGGTTGAGCTTGGACTTGGAACCATGTGTAGCAAACGTAAGTAGTTCATTGTGCAGCATAGCTCCCAAGTCCATGGACGGAGTGAAACTTCCCTGTTGGATCCCTTACCGATAGGGTAGGGTAGCAGGGAGGGCCAAGCAGTGTCCTTAGGTGCACAGGGCCCTGCTCTAGCTATAGTTACCTTATGAGGAAGCAGGCTGGGCCTGCTCTGGGTTCCCCACTATAAAAGACAACAGTCTTCACACTGAACCTTACATGGATTCACCCCATTTTATAAAGTAGGGATCTGCTGTATCTGCATCTCTAGTACCCATCAAACTCACTGCGCATCAGGAAGGCCGCCCAGAACACCATCCGAGCTGAGAAAGAACCTTTCTTCCATCTGGCCTGCTGTGTTCTGGTCTCTGTATCTACTCCCTGTTCTTGCTTTCAGCCCGGAACCCTTCAGTCTCTTTAACCTTTCCTAGTGGTTCTATATCATTGTGTGATACAAACAAAATATGTGATCTGAGAGTTGGCTGCTGTTAATAATTGAGATTGGAGTGGAATAAAGGAACCCATGCTTGCTGGTGGTCATGATTACCAAGGAAAATCAAGAGTACCCAGTGAAATAGAGCCAGTGAAATCCAAGTAGCCTGTGAATTATGGGAAGACATAACATGCTGGTCTCTGTTACTGGCTTAACTTGTATTCAATCACTGCCGTGATCAGCAGGATTCCATTCATTAGAAAAGGAATCTAGTAAGCCAGGTCTGATGGTGCATTCCTTTAATCCCAGCACTTGCAGGCAGATCTCTGAGTTCGAGGCCAAATTAGTCTACAAAGCAAGTTCTAGGACAGCCAGGGAAACAAAAGAGTCCTGTCTTTTTTAAAAAAAGAAAGAAGGAGAAAGAAGGAAAGAAAGAAAGAAAGAAAGAAAGAAAGAAAGAAAGAAAGAAAGAAAGAAAGAAAGAAAAAGGAAGGAAGGAAGAAAGAAAAAGAAAGAAAGAGAGAAAGAAAGAAAGGAAAAAGGACTCTAGTGAACATGATCCTTCCCCCTCCAAATAAGCCATTTGGTGGTACAGACAAAACACTACCAAAGGCTGGTGAACAGACCAAAGCTGCGTCTCTAAGCAAGGGTCTACTCACAATTATGTGATACACGGATTAGGGTGGCTCCTGACTTTGGTGTGGAGAGGAAGTGTGTGCCTCTGATCTGTGCAGATCAAGGGCCAAAGGCTTGAGAATCAGGAAGGTACATAGCATACACCAGGAAAGGTCTCAACTCATGAGGAATTGATTAACAAAAGAAATACCTGGGGGGGGCACATACCATTAATCCCAGCCCTTGGGGAGGCAGAGACAGATGGATCTCTGAATTTGAGGCCAGGTTGATATACAGAGCAAGTTCCAGGACAGCCAGGGCTACCCAGAAAAACCCTGTCTTGAAGAAACAAAAACAACAAAGAAATATGCAGAACCTAAAGCATCATGAGAGGCGTAAACTTCAGATTACACATCCATCATTACTCACGTCTCAGGTGGACTGTGGAATTATACCGTGTCAACACATAGTTGCATTATTTACACTGGAGGTATGGGCAGGCAGATCTCTTAAGAGTTTGAGGCCTACCAAGGTGCACAATGAGACTCTGAAAAACCAATAAATAAAATAAGTATTTGTTAAGCTTCAAGCTTGGTGGTGTTCACCTTGAACCCCAGCACTAGGGAGGCAGAGTCTGGCAGATCTCTGTAAGTTCAAGGCTAGCCAGAGCTACACAGTGAGACCTTGTCTAAGCAGTTCACCAACTGGGGACTAAGCATGAAAACATGAATCCATGGGGGACATTCTCCTTCAAACAATCATAGGCCGGGAAGCAGTACCATTTGTAAGACTACACAAGGCCATTCAAATGGTCTCGTAATAGCACATTCTTCCAAATGACTAAAACATAATTAACAATAAGGAAAAACAGGAGCAGAAAAGACACCCTAGAACTCAGAGGCAGGAGTGGATAATGAGGAAGGATAGGCCCCAACACCACTTATAAATCTTTAGGAGCCATAAGACCACCAGAAGGTAACAGACTCACATTGTGGCAATAGTGACCCCTGTATCTACATAAGAAGTGCAGACGCTGGGCAGTGGTAGCACACACCTTTAATCCCAGCACTTGGGAGGCAGAGGCAGGTGCATTTCTGTGAGTTCGAGGCCAGCCTGGTCTACAGAGTGAGTTCCAGGAAAGGCACCCAAAACAACACAGAGAAACCCTATCTCAGGAAAAAAGAAAGAAAGAAAGAAACAGATGCGTGACAGGCAGGAGAGACAGGATCATCTGCAAAAGTGGTAATGACCACACGCAGAGTATGTAATTTCTGGTCTGGTCTGTGACATTTGCTACCAGTGAGAAGTTTTTAATCAATAAAATCAGCTAAGGCAGAGCTATGCCTGCCCTCCCACGTGACCAAACCCAACTCATCATTTTTTTTTTTTTT